CCCCAGTGTAAGTTTCAAGCCACCAGGTCCAGGACTCAAACAGTGGTTGGCCATGTAGGAGTCCAGCAATGTAGCCATTATGCCATCTGCTAGCCCCCCACAGGTTTATCTGAACCTGGCAAATTTTGGTCATTAGAATTTCTGGGTCAGAAGATGTTTGCCTTTTGGTATATCCAGCCAGATCTTTTTTACTTAAACTCCTACAAAGACATGAGAATACTTGATTCCAGTGCTCTTTGCCAACTGTGGACATTATCTATCTTTTTATTTTTTGCCAGTGTGATGGCTGAAAAAGGATAATCTAATTTTCAAATTTGTATCGTTAGTGAATAAAATTTTTCATATGTCTGTCTGTCAGTTTAATATCCTCTTTTCTGATCTATCTGTTTATCTCTTTACCAGTTTTTCCATTGAGTAGTTTGTCTTTTTCTTAAACGACTAAAAGAATCATTTTATAATGGAGGTTAATATTTTGCCAGTTCTGTAGGTAATGAAATTTTCCCCCATTCTATGCGGAACCTGTAATTTATTTAAGATGTGTTTTATTCTGTGGAAGTTCCAACTATTACCATCAGTCTTTTCTTTTTTATTATTACTTTTTTTTTTTTTTTTTTTTATTTTTTTGCAATAGGACATGGACATGTGTCTGGAGAGAGATAGTGAGAGGGAAAGTGAGAAATCACCACCCAGGGGGGATGGCCATGCCACAATCCCTTCTTCTCCATTCTCTTAGGATTTTGGGCATGCACATACATATGCTCAGTGTGATTTTTAAGCCACCAGGTCTGGAATTTGAACCAGGATCGGCCATGTGGGAGTCCAGCACCTTAACTACCACGCCATCTTTGGCCCAGCTGTCAGTCTTTTCTTAAAGGACTTCTGTATTTTTTTTAAGAAATTTTGACTTTTGGGAACCAGCAGTTAGCGTAATGGCTATGTCACTGGACTCCCACATAGTCGACCGCGGTTCGTGTCCCGGACCTGGTGGCTTAAAACTCACGCCGGGCGCGTGTGCATGCGTGCCCAAGATCCCGAGAGGAGAATGGAGGAGAAGGGATTGCGGCGTGACCATCCCCCCTGGGGGGTGATTTCTCGCTTTCTGTCTCTATGTCTCTCTCTGTCTGTCTGGCGAGCGCACGCGCCCTACAATGAAAATCTCTCAAAAAAAATTATAAAAAAAAAATTTTGACTTTTGAATTTTTATTTATTTTATTTTTAATTTTGACCAGAGAGGGACAAAGTGAGCGAGAAAGAGAGGGAAAGTTAGGAAGCAGGCCACTAGGTCTGAGACTTGAACTGCAGTCAGCCATGTGGGAGTCCAGAGCCCTTAACCACCACCATGCCACCTGCCGGCCCCTAGGACATCTGCATTTTACATCTTATGTGAAAAGGAACTTCCCACTCAACGTAATAAGGTGCCAAGTCTCCTTCATAGAAATTTAAAAACAGGCAGAATTTAACTGTATCATGCATATAAGGAAAGGAACACATCGTCATATTCAGTGGTTTAATGTATGATAATTTTGTTCTTTTTGTACAAAGTGTTTTATGTATTTTTCCATTAGGTTATTATCTCCTTGTGTAATATCTGGATGATCAGCTTTATGCAATTGACTTATAGGCACAAGAGGTATTTCGAAAATGCGTTTCAGTTCAAGAAGAGTGGAAACAGTTTCACCACCTCTGTTATTGGGAGCTAATGTGGATTTATATATTCCAACAAAACTGGATGCAGGCGTATTACTATTCAGATCTGCTTTGCAAAGAAAGTCGATGGTCCAAGGTAAAGTATAGTGCTTTTGTTGATGTCATTTGTTTGCTAATACGTGGCCAGGAATTTTAATTTAGGACTGTTTATTTAATAGTATGACATCCTCACTGCTTACTGTTTCTCAACTTACAGATCCACAATGCAGGTAATACACATTACGTACGTACTATTGAGAGGACCTGTCCTCAGAAGTTCTTGCTTTAAAAGCCATCCAGTGAATTGCTTTCAAAAATGGTTTTAGTTCTAAAGATGAAGTACGCTATACTTAGAATTATTAAATATCTATAGTCATGATAAGTTTTTTTTTGGGGGGGGGAGAGATTTTTGCTAAAGGATGCCAGTACTAGCCAGAGAGACGGAGAGACAGAAAGTGAGAAATCACCCCTCTGTGGGGGTGGCCACACCACAATCCCTTCTCTTCACAGGATCTTGGGCATGATGCACATGCACCTGGTGTGATTTTGAAGCCACCAGGTCTGGGACTCAAACCTCAGTTGGCCATGTGGGAGTCCAGCGACGTAACCACTATGCCATCCACGGGTCCTTGTGATAAGTTTTTGACTTCCCAGTGCCCTGATGACCAGGCTTTCCATGATAAATCAAAATTAATTCTGATCCATCTGTGATAAGTTTGGAGGAATGAGACAATAATCTTTTGTTCATTCTGCCCACTTTCTCACCCTAAATGCTATTGATGTACAGTTGGAAAATGAATTAGTTGAAAAGTGTTGTTCTCATTTGAGGTGACATAAAGCAATATAAGAGTTCATTTCTTTGATGCCTCTTAATATTATATCTGGAAGATTTGGAGTTTATTTCTGATTTGCAAGGTAGAAATGCCCTGTAACTTGGGAATTTCTATAAGAATTTTCTTTCTTTCTTTTTTTTTTTTTTCTTTTCCTCAAGGCAACATATGTGTTCTTGAAAGCTGCGATTTTGAGTATGCTTCCAGAAGAAGATGTAGCATCAACTAATGAGAACGTAGTCACTTTATTCAGGTAAGCAAGACACTATTTCTATAACTAAAGGTGAAGGATATTTAAAAGAACATATTTTTCTTAGTAGTCTCCATGCTTCAAAGTATCATCCTTTATAGATTTTGTGGATAGGTTATGATTGGGAATCTTGAGAACACATAGTTTTATTTATGTGTTGGAAATAGGGTTTTGTTGCTGCATTTTGAACCGTTTCCTGTATTGGTATTATCACCAAAAAATGTAAGCTGTTGCTGAGAATCCAACGTATTCTGTGGTCAGATAAACTTGAGAAACTGAGTATAACACACTGGTTTTCACTAGTATGTTGAAGATTCTGAGAAAGTTGACTATGACATAATCTGTTGAACTTTATTTAGCCCAGTATTCATCCATCCATCCATCTAGCTTTTTGAGAACATACTATGTGAAGGGTACTAACATACTGTGTGAGGTGCTAAACGAACACGTTTACGCCCTGTTGTTGTGGAGTTTAACATCTTGTAGTGAAATCAGACATCCATGAAATATACACAAAAATACACACAAAATTGCAACATATGACTGATTTTTCCCCCCAGAATCTTGTGTGCGAGCCTATAGGGAATGATCATTGAGATGATGTCTGAAGGTGGACTGGAGCTGCTAAGGTGCTGGGCAGTGGTGACACAGTTTTAAGGCAAGGAGGTAGCAGGAGAGAACTTCTTGCAGGAAGGATTCCTGCACATTTAAAGAAGTAAAAGAAAGCTGCTAATTGACCAGACTTACTGTCATGTTTTATCTATATACACAGTGATGTGTCACTTAATGATGGGGATGCGTTCTGAGAAATGCAATTTTGTCATTGTATGGATGTCATAGTGTACACAAACCTAGATGGTATAGCCCACTACACACCTAGGCTACATGATGTAGATTCCTGGCACCACCAGGGTAAGTGCTCTCTGTCATTGACTGAAACGTTACTCGGCACATTACTGTATAATCAGAGGAAAAGGAGTGTTACGGTTGAAACTGTTTTAGTTTGGGCTACTACAATAAAATACCATACATTTGGTGGCTTAAACAACACACAATTTCTAAAGGTTCTAGAGACTGAAAAGTCTACGATTGTGAGGATTCATGCCTCAGGCCTGCTATTGACCTCCCCCTCACCCCTACCCTTGCCCATGTTTCCCATGCCTCTTGTCTCTTCCACCAGTGGACATCAGTGATGGGACGTTCTGGTTTGAAATCATAGCCCCATTATTGCACCCAGAAACTACCTAAGACGTTTACCTCATACTATTTTTTCTCCCTCTTATTTAATTTTTTCTTTTCAGTGATACATTGGATATTTCTTGAGTTCTTCCTCAGCAACTTGTTAGATGCATTCATAAAATATGTGTAAGAAAGTGCTCTAAGAACCCATAGTTTCCCCACCTTACTTTTGTTTTTCTGTGGCTCTGAGTTTCACAATTGGCATTTCTCAGAATTTTGAGTGGAAGTTTATAAACATGGTGCATGTCCCGAGGTAATTATTTCCAGAATGTGCAGGAAACATTTTCTCATATTATACATTAATTGGTGACTGTCTTTTGAGTCAGATTATTTTATAGGTCTTTGTCATACTTGCATATAGGAACAGGAAATGTACCAGCTTATGCTCTTTTCTCTCTCTAGGGTATCTGCAATAGAAGTAAATACTTTGGCTCTTTCCTGCTTCCTTATGGAAATTGCCAATTTTATAACTATTAATAGATTGCCTAGGCTGTGTTTGATGGATTAAGATACTAGCTCCATTGACTAGAAAGAAGTATGTATTAATCAGTAGTTCTCAAACTTGAGTGTGCATCAGAATTCCCTGGGGGATTATTGAAAAATGCAGGGACTAGCAGGTGGCATAATGGTTACGTCACTGGACTCTCACATAGTTGACTGCAGTTCAAATCCCAGACCTGGTTGCTTACAACTCACGCCAGGCACTTGTGTGTGCATGCCCAAAATCCCAAGAGGAGAATGGAGAAGGGATTACAATGTGGCCATCCCCCTGGAGGGTGATTTCTTGCTTTCTGTCTCTCCGGAGAGCACATACATCCTTAGCAAAAATCTCTCTCTAAGAAAAAAAAAGAAACGAAAATGGAGAAAGCTGGGCCCCACCCCCAGAGTTGCTGATTCCATATGGGGTGGGGCCTGAGAATACGGATTTCCAGCAGGTTCGCAGAGGAGGCTGATGCTGCTGGTCTGTGGAATGCATGTGAACCCACAGGTGGAATAACCCATGTGTTCTAATGACTTTCACTGGGGCTGCGGTGGGGCTCTTCACAGACAGGTGGATAGCTTGAAGCAGAGGATTGCTGGTAAATCTCTCCCCACTGAGAAGTTTGCTGTGAGGAAGGCACGGCGTTACTCCTTGCCTGCACCCGTGAAACTCGTCCTGCCCGCCCTGGTATGTGCTTTAATGTTATTTACTGTTCATGTGCTAAAATGAAATGATCTGTTCACAGCAGCAGCATATCCAACTTTGGTTGTGAAGGTTAGCTCAATTAGAAACTATTCTAATTGTGTGAGAAGAACATTTATAAATCAGTTATTAATATGTAATAAAAATTATAGCTAGTGTTCTGTCACCAGTTGGTATGTTCCAAGCACTACAATAAAAGCTATTTAAAAAACATATCATTTAGCTCTTTCTTTTTAGGGGAATTAATTTTATTTAACTTTATGTATGTATATATGTATGTTTTAACCAGAGAAGGGCAGAGTGAGAGGGAGAGAAAAAGTGAGAAAGCAAGCCCCCAGGTCTGAGATTCGAACCACTGTTGGCCATGTGCGAGTCCACCCACATGTCGGCCCCTCATTTAATTCTTAAAACTATATGAGTGTAGTTAGTCTCATTGCCACATTTTACAGAGAAGGAGATTTGGGCAGACAGAGAAAGTTGACTTCATTGAAATTGAATTGAATTGAATTATAAAACGCATATGTAATTTTACCTTTTCTGATAGCCACATTAAAGAAAAGGGAATATGAAATTGATTTAAAGAATACATTTTGTTGGGGGAACCAGCAGTTAGCGTAATGGCTGTGTCGCTGGACTCCCACGTAGTCGACCGCGGTTCGTGTCCCGGACCCGGTGGCTTAAAACTCACGCCGGGCGCGTGTGCGTGCATGCCCAAGATCCCGAGAGGAGAATGGAAGAATACATTTTGTTGGGACTGAAAGGTGGCATGGTGGATGAGGCACTGAATTCCCACATGGCTGACTGCGGTTTGAGTCCTGGGCCTGACAGCTTGCTTTCTCACTTTCCCCCTCTCTCTCTCTCTTTCTCTCTGTGGTCAAATTAAAAAATAAATAATTCTTAAAAATATATTTTGTTCAACTTAGTATGCGAAATGTTATATTTTTAACATGTAATTGATAAAAAAACCTTTTGATAAGTTTTTGTTTGTTCGTTTTTAGTTCATTTTATTTGTTTTGTCCATAAGGTATGTATGCTCATGAGAAAGAGGGAGAGAGAGAGAGAGAGAGAGAGAGAGAGAGAAAAGTCAAACTCTGAGAGGGGATGGCCACACCACAGTCCTTTCTCTTCTTTTCTCTTCTTTTTTCTTTCTTTTTTTTTTTTTTTTTTGAGAGATTCTTCTTGGGATTTTGGACACACACACACACACACTCACCTGAACACGCTTGCATGTTTCTCAAGCTGCCAAGTCCAGAACCCAAACTGCAAAGTTGACCATGTGGAATACAGCTGCCTTCACCATCACACCACTGGCTGGCCTCTGTGAATTATTTTGTATTCTTTTATATTGTACTAATTCTTTGAAATCTGGAGTGTGTGTACACTTAGAGGACATGTCAGTTTGGACTGGCCTTGTTTCCAGTGCTCAAAGGCCAAAAGTGGGTGGTGGCTGCTGTGTTCAGTGGCCCAGCCAACGCTCATATTCTTAATCATTATGCCATTTAGGGGAGACCTCTGCGAAAAGCACAGTTTCAGCTTAGATTTTCTTAATGAGGTCTCCTTTAAAAATTTTTACTACTGGGACCAGCAGTTGGCATAATTGCTATGTCCCTGGACTCCCATGTAGTCGACCACGGTTCGTGTCCCGGACCCGGTAGCTTAAAACTCACGCCGGGCGCGTGTGCGTGCGTGCCCAAGATCCTGAGAGGAGAATGGAGGAGAAGGGATTGAGGCATGGCCATCCTCCCTGGGGGGTGATTTCTCACTTTCTGTCTCTCTGTCTCTTTCTGGCAAGCGCATATGCCCAGTAGCAAAAACCTCTCCAAAAAAATTTTTTTTTTGGACTGGTGCAGAAATGAGACTCTTTTGGGGTTTTAGGTGTTGCAGAGGTAGTCAGTGTAGGAAAGCTGTTCCGCTCAGCTAATGTCTGCAGTTCTCCTTTGGTGTTGCCTGAATCATTTTTTGAAATTTATTCTAGAGTTTAATCATTTCTCTTTTATAGTTAGTTAGGCTTCTTTAGTTTTTATTATTACAAACAAACTACAGTGCATATCCATTTTTTGGATGTGTGCATTTAATTTTCTGGGAAAGATTTATAGAAATGGAATTCCAGTTTGAAAGCTATATATGAGTTTAATATTTTGGTAGTTATTGTCAGACTTCCGCCCAAGAAAAGCTTGTGTAAATTACTACCAACAGTGTTTTATCATTTTAATTTGCATTTCCTTGTTGGTGCAGTTGATCATTTTTTGTGTGTCTGTTCATTTTTATTTATTTATTTTTTGTAAATTGTGATTCATATTCCTTTCTAGTTATCATTGGGTGGCTTACTGTTTTATTATTGACTTACTGGAGCATTTCCATGCATTTTGTGAGAAAGACACATTCAGTCCCTAAGAAGTATCAGGAGTGGGACCAGCAGGTGGTATGGTGGTTGAGGTGCTGGACTGCCACATGGCTTACTGTGGTTTGAATCTGGCTTACTTTCTCACTTTCTCGCTCTCTCTGGTGAGCACACATGCCCTCTAGCACATTTAAAAATAATAAAGTGAAAGAAATAGTTCTTTAAAAAAAGTAGTATCACCTGGGCTCAGGTGTTCCTCCTTAGCATAAATAACCCCCGAGAGCACTCACATGAATGAGGTTGTTCTGTGACGTGGAGGGAGCACGGCTGTAGTCATGTCTGAGCACAGACGAAACAAAGACATTGTGCAAATCACAAAAAAATACCAGACAGCCCTGTCTCCCAGCTCACATGAGCATGTTGCTGCTTTGGCAGTTATAATTTTAGCTCCAGTCCTGATTCATTTTCAAGTGATTTGCAGAGGGAAAGGTTTTTTCTGTCTCACAGAACTTTCCCACAATTTTCTAGACCATCATTGTTTTTCTCTGCCCTAGTACTTAGATACCAATGTATGCATAGCTGTCTCTTGTTATGACTGTTAAGAATCTTAAGGCAGGTGGGCTGGCCAAGTGTGGTGGCTGGGACAGCTGGATCCCACATGGCTGAATGAGTGGTTTGGGTCCCAGACTGCTGGCTTGGGACCACGTGAGACACATGTGCATGTGTGTTGGAGTTCCTAGAGGGGGTTGGGGGTGAAGGGATTGCAATGTGGTTATCTACTTCTAGGGATGCTTTCACTTTCTCTCTCTCTGTGTCTCTTTCCACTGAGTGCATGTGCTCTATAGCAAATTGAGAGAGAGAGAGAGAAAGAGAGAGAGAGAGAGAGAGAGAGAGAGAGAGAGAGAGAGAGTCTTAAGGGAGGTTAACTTACTGCACTTCTTTCTGCAGGTGGACAGAATTTATAAGAATTGAATTGGTGATATCTAAAAATTTTACCAAAAGCCCTTTTTTTTTGTAACCAAATCTCAGAGATGAACTTCCTTCCTTCTGCTAAAAATACTCCACCAATAAGAAAAAAAAAAGATAATCAATTTAAATGTATTTCTTCAGTTACTGAATTGAGGTCTTACATTTAGCTATTATCTATTAACTATAAGAACTGAGGCTGGCAGGTGGCGTGGTGGTTAAGGCCACTGGACTTCCACATGGCCCAGAAGTGGTTCAAGTCCCGGACCTGGAGGCTTACTTTCTCACTTTCCCTCTCTTTTTTTTTTTTTTTTTTTTTTTTTTTTTTTTGGGAGGTTTTTTTGCTATAGGGCACGTGCGCTCACCAGACAGACAGAGAGAGACATAGAGACAGAAAGCGAGAAATCACCCCCCAGGGGGGATGGTCACGCCGCAATCCCTTCTCCTCCATTCTCCTCTCGGGATCTTGGGCACGCACGCACACGCTCCCGGCGTGAGTTTTAAGCCACCGGGTCCGGGACGCGAACCGCGGTCGACTACGTGGGAGTCCAGCGACATAGCCATTACGCTAACTGCTGGTTCCCTCACTTTCCCTCTCTCTTACTCTATCCCTTTCTGGTCAAATTAAAATAAATAAATAAAGAAAAGTTAAATAAAATAATTCTTTAAAAAATAAGAATTTAGAACATCCACTATGAAAGGTAGAGTGTTGTGTTTTTGGTTTTCAGTAAATAAAGAGAACTCTGCAGCCACTCTTCCTGAACATGTCATCATTTCCATTGTTTTTTTTTTTTTTTGGCAAGAGTCTTTTTAAGCAAAATCTTTATAATTTAAAAAATTTATTTCTAAGAAGATAGTAATGATTCTGTTGATTTCATACCCTTTAAAATATGAACTATACTTTCAGGAACATTAGAAAAATATTTTTAAGCAAAAGCACATTTGCTTTTGGTCCAAAAAAAATTCTCATCTGTTAGCCCATTAAATATAATCTGCAATGAGAAATCATTAGTTTACATTTTCAGAAGCTGTCATTCAGCCATATGGCCTTTAAATGAGTGCATTTTCTGCAGATTGGATTGCATTACTGGACCGGCACATGTTTTTAATGGTATAAAAGAACCTGAGCCCAGTAAAATATTCTAATGCTCATTTCCAGTGATATTCTTGGAAGCATTTTATATAAACAACGGGCAGACATTTAAAAATATTTTCCTTTACTTAAAATTAACAACAAAAATGTACATTAAACAGAATTGGGCATAGTATTGGTTTAAAATTTTTATATACATTTATATATCTCTATTCTAGTAGCTTCCAAAACAATTGAATACCAGTAGGTACTTAATAAATATTCATTAAATGAATAAATCAATTTAAAGTAAAAACATAATATCAATATCCTACACTTACTGAATTACTTCACAATACCAAAGGCAAAAGGCATATGAGAGAAGGGGAAATTAAATCCTTAAACTCCAAATGAAAAAAGTTAAGGGGACCAGCAGTTAGCATAATAGCTATGTCGCTGAACTCCCATGTAGTCGACTGTGGTTCAAGTCCTGGACCCGGTGGCTTAAACTCATGCTGGGCGCATATGCATGCATGCCCAAGATCCCAAGAGAAGAATGGAGAAGAGACTGCGGTTTGGCCATCCCACGTAGGGGGTGATTTCTCTCTTTCTGTCTCTCTGTCTCTCTCTCTGGCAAGTGCACACGCCCTGTAGCAAAAAACCTGTCCAAGAAAAAAAAAAGTTAAGGAAAATGATCTCTTAAATATTGTCTTGAGATCTCCAGCAACCAAGGTGAAACATGTGTACATAGTATTGTGGTCAGGAAGGACATTGAATGACCTCACAAAATTGCAAATGGTTTATCGTTTTTTCTTCTTAGGAAATGATGTACGTCTGGAATGGTTTTTTGATAGTGAACAAAAGGAAAGATCTTTCTGAAAATCTGTTGGTAACTGTTGAAAAGGCTGAGGCAGCTTTGCAAAATCAAGGTAAGTATGAGTAGTAAGTGCCTGGAAATATATCTGTGCTCCATTGCTGTTCTCCTGACTTTTCCTCGTGCATATCTGCCCATGTCAAATCTGTGTGCACCACAGAGACAGAAGAGCTTGAGCAGCAGGTGTTTGGGTGGCTGCACTCAGGAGGGGTGGAACGAGGAGTACTGCAGCATGGACAAACTTGGGGAACACTGGGCTAAGTGACAAGAAACCAGCCATGAAAGGCCATAGATTGTCTGATTCCATTTACATGAAGTATTCAGAACAGGCACATAAATCTACAAAGGCAGGCAGTGGAGTAGAAGTTGCCTAGGATTGGTGGAACTGGAGGGATGTGATAGCTAAAGGATATGGCATTTTTGGAGGGGGGGTGATGAACATGTTCTAAAGTTGATTATGGTAATAGTTGTACAACTCAGTACATATATTAAAAACCAGTGAAGTGTATACTTACATTAAAAAAAATGCTTTTTAAAGTTTATTTCATTCATGAGTGAGAGAGAGAGACTGAGAGACAGTATCCCCAACAGGGTCTTGATGCTGCAAGTCACCCCCAAGTTTAGCAAGCCCAGATCACGGGCGCTTATATGCCCTGCATGCTCCCGTCTCTAGATGGAAACCTGGAACCTCTTCTTGTGGGTCAGCCTTACAAAGCTTTGTATTTTACCACTGCGCCACTGTCTGCCCCCAGGTTGTATACTTTTAAATGGTTGAATTGTATGGTTTGTTAAATTTTTTGTTGCAGTTATTTACTTATTTATTTAATTTTATTTATTATCATTATTTTTAAAAACTGACCAGAGAGAGAGCGCGTGCGCGAGAAACAAGCCACCAGATCCGAGACTTGAACCACAGTCAGCCATTTGAGAGTCCAGTGCCTTAACCATCACGCCACCTGCCAGCCCTGTTAATTATATCTTAAAAAACTTATACTAAAAGATGAAGGGAGGAAGACAGGCATTTGAGCTTTAGAGCAGCTCAAGCAAAGTGTGCATTTCCTTCTGGCTTTAGTTTCTTACGACTTCTTCCATGACACTCTTCTGCTTTCTAATAGCTAGGGTGTTTCTGTAGACACAGGGAACTCTTTGTCTTCAGGTTAGAATCTTACTGCAATTTAATTTTTTTTGCTTATTACCTTTTGGTTGTGCTAGAAGCCTTACTCTCGTTTACTGGGCGCTCCATTGGTTGGAAGCAACTGACATAGTAGGAGAACCAGGCCTTTCGGGCTTACAGTCCCTGGTCTGCAGGCATTGGATTCTGGGAAACACCTTACTTTTATTTCAAAATTAGATCAGCGTTGGGCCAGATGGTACCCAAATTGTTTTCTTGCTCTGACATTTTCTGGTTCTGTATTTTCAATAGATGCTGTCTCCTTTGATATGCAGTGCCATAAATGATAGCCTTTGTTCTCATCCTTATCAATGCCAGATAGCCTGTGCATTACTCCAATAGCATGGTCTTATCTTTTGGACTCGTCTAACCATGAAAATAAAGTGAAAACTGTGGGGATTAATGTGGTAAAAGGCATAGAAGTTCAGTAATGGTGAGGGAAAATTATAACAGTTAACTGATTTTTTTTTTTTAAACTGGAAGATGATGTGCAGTCAGAGAGCCCTGGTGCTACACTCCATATTGGGATTCAGTAATTGAAATTGTCTCTAGGGATGAGGACTCATTTGGATATTTTGTTTTGTACTTGAACCTTTAGTTTTAAGTGGAGACACTTAATGAGATTTTTCCTTATAGTTCTTTTTTTAAGTTTTTTTGTTTTGTTTTGTTTTGTTTTTTTGCCATAGGGTGTGTGTGCTTTCAAGAAAGAGACAGAGAGAATGTAAGAAATCACCCTCTGGGGGGGATGGCCACACTGCAGTACCTTCTCCATTCTCCTCTTGGGATTTTTGGCATACATGCAAATGTGTCCTGTGTCATTTTCAAGCCATTAGATCTGGGATTTGAACTGTGGTCAGCTATGTGGGAATCCAGTGCCATTATGCCATTTATTCTTTTACAGTTAAACACACTTTTTTTTTTGAGAGAGAGATTTTTGCTATAGGATGTGTGCACTTGCCAGGGTAACAGAGACAGACAGAAAGCAAGAAGTCGCCCCCCTCCCCAGGAGGGATGGCCATGTCACAATCCCTTCTCCATTTTCCTCTTGGGATTTTGGGTATGCATGTACATGTCCCCAGCATGAGTTTCAAGCCACTGGGTCCAGGACTCGAACTATGGTTGGCCATATGGGAATACAACACTTTAACCACTGTGCCACCTGCTGGGCCCTAAACACATAATTTTAATTCTTACATTCATTCTTTTATAGTTAGACATAATTTTTTAAAACTTATCTTTATTGGGAACCAGCAGTTAGCGTAATGGCTATGTCGCTGGACTCCCACGTAGTCGACCGCGGTTCGTGTCCTGGACCCGGTGGGTTAA